AGATTTTGAGCTTGGAGCAGGTTTAAGACTTTTGGGACGATGTGATGGAGTAAATGTGTTTTGCACACGGCAAGGACATGAACTTTGGGGGACCAAAGGATGTAATGTTATGGGTTGAATTGTGTCGCAAAAAAATACGCGTTTTAAATCCTAATCTATATGCCTGTGGTTATAATCACATTTGGGAATGGGTTGTCTTTCTTATGTTAATGAGATAGAATCAGTACAATGTATATCTTTAGTCAGTCTCTTTAGAGATACAAAAGAGATTATACAATCATGCAGAGCAGAGATGGGGCAAGAGAGATGGCAAGCTACATGAAGATTACCCAGGAGCAGAAGTGCTCAAAGAGACTAGGACCTTCCCCCAGAGCTGACAGAGAAAGAAAGCCTTCCCCTACAGCCAGCGCCATGAATTTGGACTTCTAGCCTCCTACACTGTGAGAAAATAAATTTGTTTGTTAAAGCCACCTACTCATGGTATTTCTGTTACGGCAACACTAGATAACTAAGACAATCTTCAAATTCATGAATATCACCATAGTATAAATTCTCCATAACATATCTAAGCGACAAAGAAAACAAAACAACTGCTGCAAAGTAGCCCAGTGAGAAAACCAGGAATTACTTCAGGCCCAAGAAAGAGTGTCAGAGACCTTCAGTGGTCACTAAAAGCCAAGGGTACTAAGATAATTCTATGATTTCCTGAGTTTCAGTTTTGTCTCCAACGACTTCCAAGTGCCTTGAAGGGTGACCTATGTCTTCCGACGTCGTTTACTACAAGGCTATGGACACCCCATGAGGCAATACAGACCCAAGCACTTAAGTAAGTTACTGTCTGCCTGAAACTTGGGGCTCTGGAAACCAATCTTCAAGATTTTATCAAGCACCTACTATGCGTAAAGCACAAAGGCTTTTTAAACACTGGAAGAAATTAGAAGGTGTCAACCCCGTTAAATATAAAAGCACCAGGTCAGGATTATAAACTATAATGACAACGTGTTCATATCACTATACAGAGAAAATAATTTAAGAGCACATGAGGGTAAACTGAAGAAGCTGTTCATTCACAACAGGAGGCAAACAGTCTGCTTATAGCTAACTACACAAGACAACAGTCAATATAATCTTGAATCACTTGTCTTTCTAATTCTAGACAGAGAATTAACAACCTTAATAACTACTCTTACCCCCAAGAGAATCTTACTCTATCACAACATTAGAGACAAAATAAAAGACAAATATCATTTGCTAAAGACTTTCTAAAATTTCCAGCCCTGAGCACAGGATTAATACAGACTAAGTGCTCTATACCTGCTGCACTGATGAATTTATGAACTTGTATCAACTGTGAAGTCCGAGTACATCAATATTGAGACTACGTAGAATTATTTTTAATTACATCTTTCCCAACCTACGTTGTTGAGTTAATTTGCATTCCACTGGGACTGATTTTACTTTTTTAAGTCCTCAGTTACAAAATATCAAAAGCAAAAATAAAAGCAATGGGTTTCAATGACAACCTTGAACCAAAGACCTAAACTAAATTAAAGATACTTGCTTCTTTACGCCCATAAAGTCTTTGAACAATTTCGATTTTCTCCCTGAAAATTTTTTCCTGCATTTAAAGTTTGCTAACTCCCATTTTATATAACATACTGTCTATAAGCACCAATATTTTCAATTTTTTAAAATACAACTAATACTCTACTGACATTTCTTTGATGAGAACCAGAACATTCACATTTCTATTTGTATACTTCTAGACAAACATTTGTTTCCATCCTCAGATCTAGATTTTCATATGAAAACAAAAACAAAAGTGTGTATGTGTAAAGCAAGTTTCAATGTCAACCCAAGAAGAAGGATTTGTCTGAACTGCCAACAGATTTGCAAAACAGCCTGTCCATCCTAATAAATGTCATCAACTTGTAGGACAATAGAGACTCAAGATAACCACAAAAATAAATTTTTCAAATCTGCAACCTCCAAGCTAAGAAACCAAGGAGTACTAAAGCATATTTAAGACATGAATCAACAGAAACAAAAGTGACACACCCACATTCTCCCTGCGTAACTTTAAAGAACAGCAGGTCTATATGGTAAAGTGAACATTCAGTGCATTCAAAACAACTGCCACAAACCAGAAAAGTTTTTTCTGATAAAGCCTTGACACAGTATTTCAGAAGTATTTGTCGGCAAAAAAAATTATCTTTGGTGACATTACCGGTGACCATGAAAACGTGTTTGGGCAGAAACAAAATCAGAGTCAAATACTTCAAAAGTTGAACAAAACCTTGCAGCAATCAAGCAGTTTCAGATTTTAGAGGCTGAGGCTGACAAGCCGCCAACTAAAGACAGTCAAATTCTACATAAGTTCAAACAAAAAGGACTTTATCATTTACAGCCCTCTAACAGTATTACCCAACACTACTGAAAATTACAGCTCAAATTAGATGTTCTCCATTTCTATACACACACATACATACGTTATCATACACTTCAAAATTAAAAGGTTCAAGAACCAGTTCTGATGGTGTCAGTTATCAAAAGCATAGGTTGCTGTATCTTCACAACAGGTCATTCAGAAAAATCAGCCTAGTTTAAATTTTGACTGACATCCAAGAAAGCAAGCTTTCTCATCTTAGCCACTTTCAATTTGTGTCCAAAATGCACCTCCACCTTCAGCAAGAGGTCACCCCAACAACTAAAAAACTAAGCCATGCATAATGCAGAAACAGGGCTTCAGGTAATAAACTGGTTCACTTGCACTCAAGATATTGGCAGGCCAAAGGCCATTTTTTTAATGCTAGACAAATGTATACCTCCATCTTGAAAATTTAAATCTGGACTCTTTAAAGTTTAACACTTAGCCAGTCCTCAAGGGTGAGTTATTTGAAAAAAGGTGAAAAGAACCAAACTCATAAAATAGAGACAAATTTAAAAATCAAAGTAAAGTTTCCCCAAAGTGCTTTTAGCTGTAAACTGATAAGCAACCAAAAACCAATTAGTTAAAAGTTTCCCTTTAAGTTGCCTGTATATATACATTTATGTATATATTTAAGTTGTACCAAAAACTGCTTACAAATGGCAACTCCTGTGAAGTAGATGATGATGAAGTTCCAGGTAATTCTAGCATGTTTCCTAATGTACTGGTACTGGAATCTGGATCATCCTGAAAAGATAAATTTATTGAGTTTAATTGCTCTTCTACGGAAACGTTCGTATCTCCTAGTGAAAAGGGGGCTGGGAGAAGGGCTGCTTTTTCACTGCTGCCGTCCACTTCATTTCTTTGCTTATTTTTCTGTGTTTCAGTTTGAGGAGCTAATGGCAAGAATGGCGATTTGACTGCACCGTGTCTACTCCCTGGTGTGCTGTCTTGTTCATTTCCCATGGCCACTTCTACACCATTCTCTGATTTAGGCTCATAATTGCAGGTGGCATTGGTCTGAGTTTCCTCAAAGATCTCCTCTATACTCTCATCCTCTGTGACTGGCTGTTCTGGGTCCATTTCAGAATCTATATCTGCATCGTCCACACAAGTAAAATTCTCAAAGTGCAGAAAGCCATTCTTGATAGTCTTTGTTACCTTTACCTGGAGTTCAGGGGAGTTATTACAAGAGGGTTCCTGTTTCATAGGAAGTGCTGTTGGACCACCAGGACTCAAGGAAGTGCAAACAACTGGCGACTGAGCTCTTGAATCACTTTTTTCAGGGTCTTGAAAGGATTCTGATCCATCAGCAGACCCATTTAAATACTCTACATTGATCATGGAGGCCAAATCCTGTAGTCTCCGCAGTGGAATGTAACAAGATGGAGAACCTTGTCCATAAGCATTTTGGGATGTTCCACTGGCAGTCGGTAACTGCATAGTACACCCATTAAGTGGCTCAGAAAAATTGGATTGACCATTACCGAAAGGGCTGTCCTTGTCTTCTGGGGCATCTAAATTCACTGGATTGGAAAAGGACAGCATACAATTTCTTCTGGGTAGTTCACAGGTCTGATCCATCCTTGGCCAGCATCAACCTGGAATCCAAAAACACAGCAATTAATCTGAGTTAATAGGCCATTTGGCTCTTCTCTTCAAAATGGCAGCCACTTCTCAAGGCCTACTGGCCTCGATGCCTTTCTGCTGCACTTCCATGGTCGGAAAAAGTTCCCCTGGCTGAAGATGGAAAAATGGCCTCGGTGAGCCTCCGAAAACTCCATCTTCCCGAAGCTGGGCAGATCCTGCCACATGGAAACAGCCCGTCCCTTTTTCCTGCACTGCAGACTGGTGGACAGTTTGGCTGAAGTAAAATTAAAATCCCTTTGGCAGTAGAAATTCCCAAATCTAAAACAGGAAGAGTCAGCGTCCCCCCGCCCCTCCCGCCCCGGGTCCGGCAGCCGGATCTCCGGAAGGGAGGAGGCTATGGGATTCGAGGGGGGCTCCCGGACGCTGCACAAAAAGGCACCCCCTCTCCTCCGCCTTCCTGGCTCGCTCGGGCGCAGCGGTCACAATAGCGCTGCACCCTGCGCCCGGCCGGCGCCGGAGCCTTTGCAGCGGCCGTGTTCAGGCCGCAGGCGACTCAGCCGACGCGGCTGCAACCCCGAAGCTCGCCTTCTGTTGGCCTGCTCGGTCCGCAGCTGCAGGGCCCAGAAGCCGGGATGCGGCAGGGGGAGAAACAGAGGCAGCCGGCGAAGCCGAGTCAGGGCAGCAGCAGCTGCTACAGCTTGACAAACATGGCTGCTGCCGACGCCGACGCCGCCGACGCCTGCCCGGGCTGCGTTCCCTCCCTCAGCCGCGGCAGCATCTCCCGGCCAAGCCGATCGCGCTCATCAATATTCAGCAGCAAGCAAAGTTTGCTGCGGGAGGGCAGCCGGCCCCACGCCCCCCAGCCGGCTACCTGAGGGGAGGCGGAGGCCGAGGTGCGCGCGGTCGCCTGGCCGGCCATGGGCCGCGCCGGGAGGAAGTTCGCGGCGGTCGGGCCAGCTAGGCCTGAGCCGGGCTGGTAGTGATGGAGGGGGAGGGGGCCCGCGGCTGCAGCGCCGCCGGCCACCAACCCTGCGCCGCGCCCGGCCCTCCCCCGCGCCCCTCACCTCACGGCCACCACCATCTTCCCCGCCCGGCCGCCTCCTCCCTAGTTCTCCTCGCGCCTGCCCGCCGCCCACCGCAGCGCACTAGTTACCGTGCCCCGCGCCCCCTCCCGGGCCGGCTGGGGGGAGGGGGTGACCCTCATTACACTGGGGCGCGAGCGGAGCGGTGGGGAGAGAGAGGAGCCGCTCGCCGCACCCCCCTCCCCCCGCGTCTCTCTTCAGGGGAGAAGGCAGCAAGCGCGACCTGCCCCGGCCTATT